CCGGCATGTTTATGCCATAGGGAGTATCCCGGTAGCGCGGGAAGCAGCGTTCGCCAATATTAATTAAAGGCCTCTAACGCTGCAGGAAAATTTTAGTAGAAGAATTAGAACTATGTATGTATTTAGTTTTAGCGTTTGTTCCCGCTTTGAGGGCGTGAAATGCCGTGTCATTGTCCCTAATAAGTCATTGTCCCGGCATTTCAATTGTCGCCCATAAGCATGAACCAAGCCACCAACTCACAAGCTTACATGCAACAACTAAACTAACACAAGGTCATCCATATGGCACCTTTCCTTGGACAAGGCATCCTCCAATTGGCACGCGGTAAATTGACTTAGATTGTTTGCCCTGGCAAACTTATGTACTCCAATCTCATCCACTGGACGATGCTGGCTGTATTTCTTGCGTGGACGATCTTGTCGCCGACGGGCGATGTTGTCCAGGGCATTCCGGTCAAACTCGTAGGCGCCGACCTCATTACCGCTGTCCATGGACATTGTGTTGGAAGGATACGTTAAGGTTCAGATAAAATGAAGAAATGAAGAAGCGCTCCTTCATAGTATGGAGATGGTAGAATCTTCAAGCAACTTTTGAACGACCAGGGAGAGTTGCTGATAGGCGAATTTGTATGAATCTATAGAATTCCTTTATTCTTTCAAGGTAAATGAATGCTTATGTATTCGTCCGTTAGTAGCGTGAAGCTTTGAACACTCTTTGTACGGCAGATTCGGCACAATGTTTTGCCTCATTGCGATGTTGCCTGAAAATTTTGAACAGAAGGGATCACTGCTCATGCTGGTGCAGCAAGACATGTAAGGAGATGGCCTGGTCACAATCCAGCAGTCATATATCGACAACCTCAAGCTATGACAACTTGTTACATGTGTCTGTAATAAAAAAGTGACTTTGCAATGGTGTGGGGAGTTCTTTGAGTGGTGGGACTGTGGAAATCCAGTTTGTTTCGCCCGTAACGTTACTTGTTAACTTGTTAACAAGTTTGTTACGGGCGAAACAACGTCCCTCTGAAACGTTTGGATATGCCTATGCAACACATTTCCTCAATTTCATGAACTGCAAGTATTCTAATCCAACATCACCCCAATCTCAGTGTAAACTAGTCTCCAAATGTGCCTGCACAAGACTGTCACCCCTGTCACCCGGCATTCACATTGCCTTAACCTCCTCAAGCTTGTCGGGGTGTGACACGTGGGCATGAACCTTGTGACACTGGGCATTGTCACAAAGAAACTGGTTGCAATCAGAAATGCATTTTTCCTCATGCCAGGTTACCGACATCGGTTACCGATTACTGGGGACGGTTAACGGATAATGGTTCGCCCGGTAATCCTACCGACCGGTTACCCATCTCGTTAACTGGACCCGTTAGGTCGGAACCGGGCCGGAACCGGCCTGGAGTATGCCATTGGGAGGGTGACTGGATGAGGATGCCCCGAAATGCTGGGGAAGGCAGGGTTTCACCAGGCAGGGGCCATGGTTGAAGATATGCCCCCCTGTCCCACATATGATACAAAAATTAGATACCATTCCAGTTAAATCACTGGAATGACACTAGCAGTTTTTGTATTAAATTTCCCACAGTGTTATCTAATCTAATACATACATGTGCCATGACAGGGTGCTGATGATGTGGTTACAGGCCGTGGTCCGTTCTTTGTCCAGCTGTAACACAGCAAAGGCGTAACCCGGGATACTCAGATTGGCATTTGCGTCGTTACATTGCCCCCCACTTAGCAATGGACGTCCTCGGCCATTATTTCGAGCACAGGAGCCATCCCACCTCGCGCCAGTGCGCTGGTTTATCCATTACACCATGAAATCGCCAATTTGCGACTTGCTGGTTGCCAGAATCGAACCGCCGACCCGAAGTTTTTTTCGGAATTCGTGCGGTCCCGTCTCGATACCATTGTAACGGGATACGCCTTTGCTGTGTTACACCAGCAGATTCATTGCACCCATTCTGTCCTTGACATTTTACTACCTTTCCTGTCAGGTACTTTGCCGACGGGGTGTCGCCAGACATTACCTCTGCAGCGCACACAGTGCTGTTGACCTCACCCATGTATGAGAGATGGAAGGTAGGCATCTTGTTGTAATGTTGTAATGTTACAGAGTGGGAGGCTTCTGGGTCGCTTTATCACATTGTCAGTTCTACGATTTTATCTTATAGCACCATCCACCACTACCACACAATACTTCGGTATACAAACTGTAAGTCCAAGGTGGCGGGTCCAGCCGTCTAGGATCCCTCCTCATCCATTCACCTGAACAACCAAAGCGACAGAGGGTTCGGACTTGTGCACAGATGGAACTGAAGGCATGTCATCACACACTGACCTTGCTTGTGCACCTGGCATGGAGCATCTAGGACTATTCACCCATTAGTTATCCATTCCTAATGAACAAGGAAGACCAGTATGAAGGGCTGTCACCCTCACTTGGGTTGCAGGAGATGGAGAAGGCTGCCGCGGAGATTTTGTACATGCCTGTCTGGAAGGAAGAGGAGCTGCTTGACTGCTGCAGGTGCTGGGTGTGGGGCGGGCTGGGCGGGAGCTGGTCTGGAGGTCTAGCTCACATGATGCATGCTGCAAGTAGTGCTGGTTTTGTTACATCCTTGGCTCAAGTTCACAACTTGGGTTTTGCACAGTAGTAAAGCAAATCAGGGTTGATATCACATTAAGTCGACAACATGGGTGTTATTATGTGTAAGGCAGTCCCTGTTTCGTGTTGACACACAATGTTCCATTGAAGCATTTTTTTATGTTGTTTGATTTAAGCTTTGATTTGCAGAATAGGGTTGCGGCACCTTGAATCGCCAGCAGAAGCAATCTAGAGTGAAGCACTTACATGGCATATCAGTGGAGGAGGTCTCTGGTGAAGAGCGACTAAGCTACACCAGCTACCTAGGGACTACTGAGTGACTTAGCATAGGATATATCCTATTATTGTATATACAAGGTGAGGGTGCCAGTCAAAGAGTTCTTCAGGCATGGAACTTCTTCAGAACAACAAGCCATCTTGCACTACAATACAAGTACACACATGTGTCCTCTTTACTAAATCCTCTACTAAGGAGATGATTCAGCCCAGGCCCTTAACTAAGCTGCACATGTTGCAAATTGTTCCGCATGTAAATGGCCAATATTGCCACACGCCTTCCCTTGCACCAAAAATGTGCCCGCAGCAAGATGTATAGTGCAGGACCGTGAAGGAACTCTACAATTGCTATGGCGGCGTGGCACGGTATGTGCTTCAACGTCCGTTTCAGCATCCCAGCTGGGGGTTGTTTCAGCATCCCAGCTGGGGGTTGTCTAAGCTGCTGGAGCCACTGAACAATGTCCTGGATCGAAGTAACGTTCAACAGGTAAAGTATTGTAGCGTTGCAAGTCCTCTGCCTGAACTTCATGTCAATTTAGGTCATTGCATAGTTTTCGCCTGAATTGCCTGAAATCTCATGTTCAGTAAGTGATACTGTGATTTTGCATTGCTCCTATGTCCTTCCATGTTCATATTGCTGCTGACGTCCCATTTCTTGGTGAGTTGTATCTGCCTCTTACATGTAATACACCTGAGGCTTGGCCTGTCTCCCTGGTTGCTCCCATCACATTAGGTTTTGGGGGCCATCAGGGCCATCAACATGGGACCCGAGGCGAGCCATCACCTGATTCATATTGTGGCTGATGAGAAGTTTGACAAGACGGACCTAACATTTGCTTCAAAGTGGGTGGTGGGGGAGTTTGCCGAACGGGCATGGAAGTATGAGCAGCAGCAGTACATATCTATGCTGGAAAAGACCGTCGGGGCAGTTAAGGGCTACGTTTTCGAGAATGTCATGCATGGTACATTGGCGAAGGGTGGCGAGTTCGATGTGGTGCCATTGCACCTGGAGACTTTGGAGCGGGGTGAGGAGGAGAAGCTGGTCATCCAGGCCTGCACGGAGTTTAAGACCTTCACACACGATGTGGCCCATTATATGACCAGCACTATCAAGAACACGTACTTGAAGCCCAAGTCCGCCAGTTTCCCTGTTATTGATGCCCTTAAGGTGCCAGAAATATACTTTTTCCAAATGACTGTTTCGGATGACAAGGAAATCAATGCAGATGATCTTGAAGACGTGTTTCAGCAGCTGGGCATTCCTGTTCTGGGCCAGGCGGGCAAGGACATGAGGCCCAGCCTCTACTTTGTAGTGGATCCAGATAAGTATGGCAAGTTTATGGTGCGGCCGGCAATGAAGAAGCTGAAGTCTGGCCAAGATGGTGAGGAGCGAAAGGTCGTCTGGCCACCCGACCCCAAAAAGAAGGAGTATGTGCTGTCAGCTAACACCCTGGCACATACAGGCGGCTCCTTGCGCCTTCGGCTCGTATGGGCTCATTACTCTGTGGGAGAAGGTGCCAGTGCATGTGTAAAGCACACATACTAGGACCTGCTCAGCAGCACCTGATGTATCCACACCGCAACAGTTGTTGTGCTGGGCGAAGGGAGAGGTGTGCAGACACCTTATTGGTGCAGGGGTAGTAGCCTTGTTCTACAGCCATGGAGAGCTGCTGCTGTCAAATGCTGTACTACTCGTCTAACCAACAGATGTGGGTTTGCCCAAATATGCAATCTGATGCCGTTACTGAGGGAAGCGTCTGCCAGATGTTTGTATGAACTGGTGTGTTGGGTTGAGAGGACGAGTGCATGTGTTCATATGTGCAGGTAATTGATGATGTAGAGCAGTAAGTAGGCATTAACATGGCAGATGTTGGTTATTTGCCTGGTGAAATATCGATCACTCGCTACAGCTAATGAACAACAACATCCTCTGGCTCTAGAGAATAGGTGCAGCATATTCTGAACCAATGTCACCAACAGACAGAAGATGCATCAACCGGCAACAAGCAGAGTTGTTGTATCCTAACTATCTAATACAATGTGGGGTGTGGAGGAGGAGAGGAGGGGAAGCTTGGGCTGTCAGGGGAGATCGTGAGCAATGCAGAGGGGGAGTTAAGCGGCTGTGGACACGGCAAGACACAACAGTTTTGGAGGATGCGTCCATGGTATTGTTCTTGTTACATGCTGCCTCTTTTGTGTTGATGTATAGGGATAGTCTCTGATGTTATCCGTATTCTTTGTGGTGAGATTTTTGTTTGTGTTTTGTCTGCAGTATTGCAGTATATATCTGAAATCGTCATCGTGCAAGGTTTGTTGTTGTTGTTATATGGTCGTGGGTGCATTCCCGTACCTGCAAACCACCCTAGTACGAGCCGAGGGCTAATGGGCTGCCATACACATCAGGATCCACCACAAAGTAGAGGCTGGGCTTCATGTCCTTGCCCGCCTGGCCCAGAGCAGGAATGCCCAGCCGCTGAAACACGTCTTCAATATCATCTGCATTGATATCTTTGCTGTCTGACACAGTCATACATTTCCAGCACCTTAAGGGCATCAATAAGGGGGAAACTGGCAGACTTGGGCTTCAAGTACGTGTTCTTGATAGTGTTGGTCATATAATGGGCCACATCGTCTGTGAAGCTCTTAAACTCCGTGCAGGCCTGGATGACCAGCTTCTCCTCCTCACCCCGCTGCAAAGTCTCCGGGTACAACGGTACCACATCGAACTTGCCACCCTTCACCAATGCACGACATTCTCGAAAATGTAGCCCTTAACTGCCCCGACGGTCTTTTCCAGCATAGATATGTACTGCTGCTGCTCATACTTCCATGCCTGTTTGGCAAACTCACCAGCCACCCGCTTTGAAGCAAATGTTAGGTCCGTCTTGTCAAACTTCTCGCCAGCCACAATATGAATCAGGTGATGGCTTGCCTCGGGTCCCATGTCGATGGCCCTGATGGCCCCCAAAACCTAATGTGATGGGAGCAACCAGGGAGGCAGGCCAAGCCTCAGGTGTATTACATGTGAGAGGCAGATACAACTCGCCAAGAAACGGGACGTCAGCAGGAATATGAACATGGAAGGACATAGGAACAATTGAAAATCACAATACCAATTACTGAACATGAAATTTCAGGCAATTCAGGTGAAAACTATGTGATGACCTAAATCGACATGAAGTTCAGGCAGAAGACTTGCAACACTACAATGCTTCACCTGTTGAATGTTGCATCGATCCAGGACTTCGTTCAGTGGCTCCAGCAGCTTAGACCCTATGGCAGTCTGGAGACGTGTAACTCGTCAGGCTCAGTAGCTACGGGGCAGTTGTCTGGACAGGTTACTCGCCAGCTAGAAGCTTGGTAAATGTGCAACCTTGAAAGTGTCATAATTATGCACAGATATGCGCGCTGAGTGTGTGAAATGTTATGACGAGGTTAGTTAAAATGTTTGCCATCCAATTTGTGTGTGGGGAGGCATTATTTGTCCTGACGATTTGCTCTCTACCTACGGCCATTTGGCAGTCCAGAGACGTGTAGCGCCCAAGGCTCAGCAGCTACGGGACAGTTGTCTGGACGAGGTTATTTTTGACGTGCAGTCCCGAAAGCACATTGGGAAGCATGAATATAGCCGGTGAATTCATCATAAGTGAAATTTAGGTTACTTCCGGTGTTTGCCACCTGTATTGGTGCTCCGATGTAACATGACCATTGGTAGTCATGGTCATGGCGCAAAGGAATGCCGATTGTTGCAGCACAAAGTAGAATATAGCTCATGAACAAATAAGTACATAGGCAAGGTTACCCGAGGCCGACATTGATCGACCTTGTCGACCAGGTCCGCCAATGTAGTGGGTCCATGCCACAATATCTGAAAGTCGGCTGAAATCATTTAAAACCTTGTCAGGTTTACTGAACAAAATTACGACCGACGAGGTTTCCGAGCCATCGGCTGACATAACCGCTCATGTACGGCTTTGGCTATTATGGCTTCAATGTCCTCTCCATCATACAAATATCTTCATTACGAAAGACCAAAGCACGTAGCCATAACTCCCAACTCAGTCAAACACGATATGGGCCAAGTATTGTTGCTAATCGGAACCGCTTCAAGTGAGAAGGAATTCGGAATAGCTTCAATTGGGATAAGGGATTTGTGTTATATTTTAATATGCCTTGTAGCAACGTTAAAATAGAACTCACCGCCACTCACTGTCGCTGAACTAACTTTAGTTACTCTTGGCTGACATCCAGCCTGGAATGGAGGCGGGTGACCACCGTGAGGAGGAATTGGGCTCGCTTGGAGAGGTGATATGGGCGGGAGGCGCGGGGCTCTTATGTGTTTTATGTGGGGTGTTAAAAAGCTGTCGTACTCCGATATGGCTATCGGAATACGGCAGTTTTTTTATGTAGGCAGGTAGTGGTGGGCCACATCTGTGCCAGGGTTGTTTTTCCTTGTGGACTTGTTACCCGTTGCCCTCTTCCTTGTTCCTGATGCTATGGAGGGTGGCTGGGGCTGGTTGGGGGAGGGGGGCGTGTATGTTTCGCCACCGTCATTGACGTGCCTGCCCTAATTCTCATGTTCCCATCCACGTGCTGCACGTGCAGCAGGCCTCGGAAGATGGGGCCGACGTCCAGCCGGGAATGGAGGTAAGATGGGGGCGAGGGTCGGGGCTCTTATGTGTTTTACGTGGGGCATCAAAACGCTGTCGTACTCCGATATGGCTATCGGAATACGGCAGATTTGTTTGATGCAGGCAGGTAGTTGTGGGGCACAGCTGTGCCAGGGTTGTTTTTCTTTGTGGATTCGTTACCCCTTGCCCTCTTTCTTGTTCCTGATGCTATCGAGGGTGGCTGGGGCTGGTTGGGGGAGGGGGGTGTGTATGTTTCGCCTCGTCATTGACGCCTGCCCTCATTGACGTGCCTGCCCTAATTCTCATGTTCCCATCCACGTGCTGCACGTGCAGCAGGCCTCGGAAGATGGGGCCGACGTCCAGCCGGGAATGGAGGTAAGATGGGGGCGAGGGTCGGGGCTCTTATGTGTTTTACGTGGGGCATCAAAACGCTGTCGTACTCCGATATGGCTATCGGAATACGGCAGATTTGTTTGATGCAGGCAGGTAGTTGTGGGGCACAGCTGTGCCAGGGTTGTTTTTCTTTGTGGATTCGTTACCCCTTGCCCTCTTTCTTGTTCCTGATGCTATCGAGGGTGGCTGGGGCTGGTTGGGGGAGGGGGGTGTGTATGTTTCGCCTCCGTCATTGACGTGCCTGCCCTAATTGACGTGCCTGCCCTAATTGACGTGCCTGCCCTAATCCTCATGTTCCCATCCACGTGCTGCACGTGCAGCAGGCCTCGGAAGATGGGGATGACGTCCAGCCGGGAATGGAGGTAAGATGGGGGGAGGGTCGGGGCTCTTATGTGTTTTACGTGGGGCATCAAAACGCTGTCGTACTCCGATATGGCTATCGGAATACGGCAGATTTGTTTGATGCAGGCAGGTAGTTGTGGGGCACAGCTGTGCCAGGGTTGTTTTTCTTTGTGGATTCGTTACCCCTTGCCCTCTTTCTTGTTCCTGATGCTATCGAGGGTGGCTGGGGCTGGTTGGGGGAGGGGGGTGTGTATGTTTCGCCTCCGTCATTGACGTGCCTGCCCTAATTGACGTGCCTGCCCTAATTGACGTGCCTGCCCTAATCCTCATGTTCCCATCCACGTGCTGCACGTGCAGCAGGCCTCGGAAGATGGGGCCGACGTCCAGCCGGGAATGGAGGTAAGATGGGGAGTAAGGGTCGGGGCTCTTATGTGTTTTACGTGGGGCATCAAAACGCTGTCGTACTCCGATATGGCTATCGGAGTACGGCAGATTTGTTTGATGCAGGCAGGTAGTTGTGGGGCACAGCTGTGCCAGGGTTGATTTTTTGTGGATTCGTTACCCCTTGCCCTCTTTCTTGTTCCTGATGCTATCGAGGGTGGCTGGGGCTGATTGGGGGAGGGGGGTGTGTATGTTTCGCCTCCGTCATTGACGTGCCTGCCCTAATTGACGTGCCTGCCCGAATTGACGTGCCTGCCCGAATCGACGTGCCTGCCCGAATTCTCATGTTCCCATCCACGTGCTGCACGTGCAGCAGGCCTCGGAAGATGGGGATGATGTCCAGCCGGGAATGGAGGTAAGATGGGGAGGAGGGTCAGGGCTCTTATGTGTTTTACGTGGGGCATCAAAACGCTGTCGTACTCCGATATGGCTATCGGAGTACGGCAGATTTGTTTGATGCAGGCAGGTAGTTGTGGGGCACAGCTGTGCCAGGGTTGATTTTTTGTGGATTCGTTACCCCTTGCCCTCTTTCTTGTTCCTGATGCTATCGAGGGTGGCTGGGGCTGATTGGGGGAGGGGGGTGTGTATGTTTCGCCTCCGTCATTGACGTGCCTGCCCTAATTGACGTGCCTGCCCGAATTGACGTGCCTGCCCGAATCGACGTGCCTGCCCGAATTCTCATGTTCCCATCCACGTGCTGCACGTGCAGCAGGCCTCGGAAGATGGGGATGATGTCCAGCCGGGAATGGAGGTAAGATGGGGAGGAGGGTCAGGGCTCTTATGTGTTTTACATGGGGCATCAAAACGCTGTCGTACTCCGATATGGCT